AAATTTTCCATTTGTTGTTGTTTCTGCGGTTTTCTAGAGTTTCGAGTCATTTCATTATAAATATTTTGTAAAGAAATTGGTAACGAAAGAATGATGGAACAAAGGACTTGAACAAGAAGCATAACAGTCATTTGTGTTGACTTTTTCTTATTTCGATTGTGTAGTACGTTATCGATGGCAGCTATTCGTCGTTGTGTCCGTCGTATGTTTCGAATAGTTAATAAACCAAACGTTAACATGAGAAAACAAGGTAAAAGAGAGTAAGTAAGCAAAAGTGCAAAACTATTGTACAGTTCACATGTCTCTGACTTAGTAAAGCAATTTGATGAAGACGATTTATATGAGCCATCGAAACAAAAGAACATTTGAGCATAAGCAAGGTAAATAATTAAAGAAATACTTAAAATAATTCGTTTAGCTGTTTTAACACGGCTAATTGATCGTATGCGTACACTGATACAACTTGATGCCCATCGATCAATACAAGCACCAACTACAAGCCAAATTGATAAAGATAAATTACCATAGGTGAAATAGGAGCGAACTTTACAATAGATAGCTGATTCTAGTGGTGTTCGAGGGTTAACGTCAAATGTTGCTAAGACACGTATTAAACATCCCATATAAAGTGCAATAAAATTGCTACATGTTGCTGCAACAAAATACCATGAACAAGAAACTGAACGAAGTTTTGACCGTGTGAAAATGCAAAAATTAAGTATATTGCCCAATGTCCCGAAAATAAGTAAAGCTATACAGACATGACGAATGAGATAGACTTCTATCAATTCCAATGTATGCATCGCAGGTAATGATGACATGTTTTGATTATCTGAATTTGTAATAATCATTTATTTTTTTTAGAATTTGGAAGATTTTTTTATTTAAGCCTGAGAAAAGAATGAACGAAAAAATAGTACTTACTCTTATTATTTAATTGAAAGAAGCTTCTTTTCATTTATCTAGTCTTAAATTACAAGTATATATTCGAGCATGCTTTGATTTGCTTACTGGAATTAAATACAAAGAATAATGTTATAGAAAAGTTTTCATTACATATCTATTCATATCGTCCTTTAATTATGAAACTTTTGATGTTTTCTAGTGACGCACAGAATCATTTTATTAGAACTTTACTATGGGTAGTATTTTTCTTTTGTTCATCTTATTATTAGAATTTCTAAAGAATGATAATAATGCATAAGAATTTATTTATAAGTAATTGATTCCCAGAGAAATGCAATGAAGTTGAAATATGAACTGTTTAAATTTGATATAAAACAGGTAATCAGTGCTTGCATTAGACTATCAGACATCCATGGATTGTAATCCACCAATTTAGATGTTATATCAATTAATAATACTCTTATCAATGTATTGCAGAAAATCGGCGTTGGTCGCTAGTGGTATTTATTTTCTAAACTGATGTTTCATTAACATTGAAGACTAAAGATAAGGGTTGAGGATGATGTTGACAAATACTTACAGCATATTTCTAATTAGCTCTTAATTGCTAGTAGTTCTAACAGAGTACTATGGAAGAAAAGATGTCGAGGAAGCAACATTCATGGATTCATTTATAACATGATGGTTTATTTACATGGAAGATCTTTCAAAAGTTCAGTTAAAAAAAGGAAACATGAATATCTTCTTGATTGTTCAAAGTATTTACGTGAGCTTTTCACAGTTTTCATCCGATCTTCATTGATCTTTTATTTCACATAAATTTGTCTCTAGTAGGTGTATAAAATGAACACTAATAAATGAAATATAAATCCATCATTTTTGAAAATATTTGTAAGAACATCATCTAATTTTCAGTTTTTTGATTTTCTTCTGAATTTTCATTTTCTACTGATACTAGATTTTTGATAAAATTATCTGTACAAATTATTTTCTATATGTTCCTATAAAAAAAAAGTTGAGTCACCTCAGCTCAATCGAGCATTATATTTGTGAAAAATGAATTGCTTCTTTTATTTCACTTGCTTGAAGAACTCTCCTCGAATATTGACAAATGTCGAGATTAAAAGTGCGGAGGAACTACATCTACGTGAAATAGTATGAAGCTCATCAAGCATAATCTTCTTAATTCTGGATCAAAAAAAAGAAACTTAAAGCATAGTAAAATGTTTTTTCTCCATTGATAATTTACCGCAAAGAAAAATGGTCCAATCATATGATTCTCTAACGTTATTCAAGAAAAGTTGACTCGTCAACACTACTTAAGAATTTTAATAGTTCTATGCGTTCATGACGTCTGCTAAAGACCTCGTTAAGCGAAAAATGACAATCCGTAATAAGATCAAAAAACGATTTCAAACTAAAAATAAAATGATGTTTTTGCAGATATTTTCGAAAATGGTAGGCTTATATAATTCATTTATTAGCCTTCATTTTGTACATCTACTAGAGACCAATTTATGTGAAATAAAAGATCAATGAATATTGGATGAAAACTATGAAAAGCTTACATAGATAGCTTGAACAGTTAAGGAGACATTCACGTTTACTGTTTCGACTGAGCTTTTGAAATATCCTATTTATATAGTTTAGAAAATTTACGGCGATAAAAAAAGTGAAACTTTCGTGTTTCACATTTTCATATAAATATTTATCTTTTCCATTAACACTGCTAATCAAAATATCGTATTATTAAAACATTTGATTTGCACGAACAAGAATTTTGTATTGAAATTACTTTTTATCTTAGAAAGTTTCTAATTCATATTTTATATTCGATATGAAAACAAAACAGACATGTATTTTCTCAAAGAATATTCAAATGAAACAAATTTCCTTTGAAGAGATATACATTTGTCCGTTCTCCATATTTTCTTTTTAGCTTATTATTAATCAATAACTCCCATCATCTTGTTTTCATTCTTAAAAAATAAACTCTTTCTATACGACACATTCAAAATGTAAGAAACAGACAACATCATTTTCATCATGTTGTAAAAATTTAAATAAATGTGGCCCACACGTTGCGTTGCTTTATTCAAATAATTACACGTAAAACAATCCGAAACTAGATGTAATTGAACGCCAAGCATTTCATCGTCAGCTGCGAAGTCGTATAACGTTTAATGAAATCATAATACACTTTGATTCATTAATGATGGAGTTTCATCAATAGAAAGATCTGACAGAAAAACACATCTTTGTTATCATTGATTTTCAGAAAATAGTTATTCTTTAAATGTGATGAAACAGAGAAAAGCACCATAAATAAAATGACATTTAAACGCAGTAGAATAATAAGTTCAATAACTTCATTCAAACATTAGAAGACTTATGATACAAGGTCGATCAAATCTAAAAAATAGAAGACATACAAAATCATCAGTAATTTTTATATAAATAATATTCATAATTGAAAACTTTATAGACGATCTTACCATGTGTGTTGATATTAATAGCACTGTACTTTCAATAAACTATGCATAGAAGTATTAATAGATGCTAGGAAAGCTTATGACGGTTCAAGATATATGACTTCTTAGTCAGGGAGATGATGGAAAGGACAAAGAAACAAGTAAAAATTTTCCAGTTTTTTAAAAGGATTTTTTTGTTCTAAAATTTTTTTAAACGTAAAAAAAGAAAAATATGTCAATGGTAAAGATACTGATAAAAAAATCTCTTGGGAGAATGATCGTATCGGTCGAAACCTTTTAAATATAAATCCTATCATGTAGTTTTATGTTGTGCCAACAATTCCTGACGATATTTAATTATATTTTCCTTTTTGACGGTGACGATCACAGCTGTAAGGTGTTTCAATGTTGCTAGTTGTGATATCTGGAAACTTTTGCATTCATGAACTGTGGCTCAGCTGAGCAGCTTACATTTATAATCAAATGAACTCTCAATGAGAACTTATTGAATTCATCAAATTCAATGTCTATTGAAATCTGTCTTGTTAAGTGTATATCTAAATCACTTATTAATCAGTCAAAAATAATGTGAATAACTGAACTAAAAAGAATGTTCTCTATGATGGAATCGATTTTCAGCTGTGTGAATTAAGAATTGATATGTTGAAGATCTTGATGAATCGATCTACATTTGATAATTTGTTTTAAAAATAAAAGTCAATCAATCCTATTGATGAGAACTTTTAACGCATAAATTAAAAAGGACAATCTAAATGTAGAGAGATAGAGTATGCATTGTATTTGTTTTAGTAGCCGAGTTTGGAAAAATTTACGTCTTTTGATTATGAACAAAAATGTGATTTCAATAGTTGTTTAGCAATATGTTTTATTCACATTGATATGAATATCTTGACATGTGTACAATAGTCCGTAAGCTCCGTTTTTATATATTTAGTTACCATTTAAACAGCAGATACATGTTGTTAATTGATATACGTCTTTGGTTGTTAGCTTTTTTTATGAGAAAAACATGTTTTTTTTCATGCTTTATTAATGTACTTTGTAGAACAAATCCAACAATATAGATCGCGTTTTGATCCTTATCTTGCTAACTTGTTTTTATCTAATTTATTTGTCATATTTTATCTTTTAGAATGTGTTCTTACTAAACTATTGTGACAGAAAACCTAATGTTCATGTTCAAGATGTTTATTGTTATTCTTTTTTCTGATCAGCTCAGTTCATGCTAATTTTCAATGTGATTTTGAATCATTTTGTAACAATTTTATAACTGATAATAATTTGGAACTAACTGAGGATTATCATTCAATTTCAACTGATCATGATCATACATTAAACAGAAATGCCGATCATTATATATGTTATTAACCATTGATTGATCCAGTAACACATCAAGTACAATGGTGCCAACATTAACGACAACAAATCAATCTGACATCAAATGTTAATTCGTTTATAAATACAATAAATTTCATTTATGATATTTTTATCATTCAATTTCTAAATAAATATCAAATTATAACTTTTCTTGAAGTTATTTTTAGATCATTTTCTTCTTTTGTTCTCAGAGGATGATTAGGTTCATTTGTAACTCGTACAATATCAACAGCACGTGTTTGATATTCGATATAAACGTTCAAGTACTTCAAACATATTATGATAAGTCACAATTAATGATGAATGATTGAATGAAAGCGATTTTTGCTGAATTTTAAGTGTTTTTTCATAAAAGGAGGATGCTTTCAAATGATCATTCATTGCTTCGTGTAATAAGCTGATATTATTGTAAGTAGTAGCTAATAGTGGATGAACAGGTGGTAGAAGTTTTTGTCGAATGGTAAGAGCTTCTTGATAACTTTTCAGTACTTGAATATATTGTTTTTGTTCGTGAATTACTCCACTCATGTAACTATATATAGTTGCAATTTCCGATAAATCAGAATTTTGATTTCGAAGAGCGACATCAAGAGCATGTTGAAAATGTCCTAATGCTTCATCGAAATCATCTTGAGCAAGCAAAATCGAGCCAATACCAGTATAAGTCATTGAAAGACTTGGATCATCTGAAGAAAGATTATCTAATTGAATATCAAGTGCTTCTTCATAATGATCAAGAGCTTTTTCAAGATCACCTTTTTCATCATGAATGCGTCCAAATTGATGATGAAGATAAGCAAGTTCTGTCCAATTATCATCAGATGTCATTTCAAATACTGATGTACAAAATTCTTCAGATTTATCAAATTGGCCCATAGCAATCATTAATGAACCTAATCGGTGCCAACCAGTTAAACCACGTGTTTCATGATGAATATGATCAGTCAGACTTTGTAGTTGTTCATCATTATCATCTGTTAATTTTAGATTGACTTTCTATATTCCTGTCATGTTTTTTTTTCATTTCTTGAATTCGAAAAACCGTATTTATTGAGAAAAGAATTTCTTTTCTTCTATCTGCATAATAGCTATAATTACTGATAGAAGCAAAAGAAGTTGATGAAATTAATGGATCAATTTCCATTTGAAAAAGAATTTATGTGATATTTGGATCATTTTGTGCACAACTTGCAAAAGTTAATGAAACTTGTCGACCAGTACTTGTTGATAAAAAATTATTAAATGATAAAAGATCACTTTGACGTTTCATTAATTTCTTTAAGTCATCATTCTGCATACCTTGTCCACGATAAACAGTCAATACACCTTGCAGGCTATTTACAAATCATATGATCACATAGGAATAGGATATTTAGAAAATAAAATATGATACCGAAGTCTTTGAATTGATGCCAAAACTCGTTTCTAAACACTCAAATGTCAATTGACTAGAACTTTTCGTGTTCAAAATTGACAAAGTCTGACACATAAAATAGACTAATGTGATTGAAATTATAATTTTCAGTTTAATCATAAAAATTTCCCAATTATAAAACAATGTTTAAAATATCTTAGCAACATAGTGTTCCAGTATTTTCCATAATTATAAATTGGTGAGATGGTTAGTTTTGCACTTTAAACTAAAATATATCTATGAATAATGCTTTCAAACCTTGTCTTATCATTTGTCTTGAGCTTGATTTTGACCATAGTACCGATTAAAAAATTCTTTTCTTGTAATGCTTGTTCAACTGAAATATCAATCTGGTAACAACTGCGAATTCAAACAAAAAAGAAGCTCGTGAGCTCTAATATGATTCAAACCGAACAAACACATCAGTAGACAATATCAATATAATGTATTGTTTAATCTGTGTGAATGTATTAATATAATTAACGATACATCGTAGTTGTTTAATCGAATTTCGATAGTCTATGTCGGATAAACTAATGTTGGAGTCTAACCAAATAATGATAAAATTTTCAAGTACACCAGGCCGACGTTGATGTGTGTGAAGAATCTTCTTTTTGACTTTTCCTTTTTCCGATGTTTTCTTCAGAACTTTTTTTGATACCTTTGTTCCATGATTTCCGGAAGATTTAGACTTTCCACTAACTAGTTTATAGTGTGCAGTGCCAACAGCTTTGGAATATTTTGGTGGCATTCACTAATTTTTATTTTCTAGTGAGAAATGTGTGTTATTTTTGTTTTACGTACGATTGTATTCTTATTTTGAAATGATTTTTTCGTTCGTTGTTAATGAAGTTCTTTTCACTTTACGCATATTTATCAATGTTATTAAGAGAAAAATGAACAAACATCTTTATGCCATGTCGCTTGGGTGTAGTTAAAAGTAATCGATTTTTCGCGAAGCATGCAAGTACAGAATTCAATATTGACATTGTTAAATATTTACAAACATGTTGCCTGTCTACGGTAAAATCAAACTACCTAATGAATTTCTTTTCTTTTTGGTAACTAAAAAAAGAAATAATATTAAGAAAAATAAAAAAGAAAATATGCGACAGGTGATCGTTACCAAGTAGTACTGTACAAAAAGCGATAAATAATTATGACAATACCTTCTGCATAGAATTCTAAATTTTTTCCTTAGACATTAGAACGTGAGAAATAATCTAATTGCATGTTACATGTAGAAATCATTCAGCAAATTATTACTGTTGTCGAAGTCGGACAAAATAATCGTTTACGATAAATTTTGTGAAAATATATTAAAATACAAAATTATGAGCGTAAATGATCATTCATTCGAGCATTTTATCATTCTTTTTTGCTTCATTAACTATATTTATAACAACATCTTATAAATGATCATCTTTCATTTGCAACCGATAGATAGATTATCTTGGCAATTTTAAATCTAAAATTATATAAAATGCTTATGAAAGGATATGGACGATACAATCAAAATGAATCATAATTATGAATATAATTCACTGAATATGAAACAAGAAAAAGACACTAGAAGACTAACTAATAAAAAGTAAATATTTTTCATTCGAAATTTTTAATGTTTTTTAATCTTGTTTCTGAAAAAATATGAATGAATGAATAGCAGATTCACAGTATTATAACCTTCACACCCACGTCCTTGCTATATTTTCTTATCTTTATCCCGTTACTATGATACATAGGAATGTCGGCATTAGATCTAATTAAATCGTTTATTTTTAAATGAATTTGTAAATTAACAATCAATCATCGATCAAATGAGACTATTTAGAATATCTTCATAAGAAATTATCGATATTTATGCAACATATTTTGTTGTATCATTCGTTCATAGTCTTGCTCTCTCAACCCGAGTATAATATTAACTGATCCATCACTTGCATATGAATCCATCATTGCAAAATATCGTGGATATAAGTGATCAGTTGGTCCGCTGTAGATAGGAAATCCACTATTACCAAAATTAGCACCGTATATATTTCCTTTTCGCCATGATGAACAATAAAAATCACGATTAATTATATCTGCATCTGCTCGATTTTTATTTATATCACCATCACCACTCATTAAATAAGCATTATATTCTCTCAATGAATGTTCTGTTTGGTTTGAATACATTTCATGAATTAGTTGTGCTAATGATGCAAGAGTTGGTTCTTGATCTGATGGTATTTCAGCATAGAGCCAAAATGGAAATGAACCAAAGTAGTTAAGAACGGCTTGTGAACAACAAGAAATGAAACGTGATCGACCATTAAGTGATTGTAAAATTTTGATATTATCAGTCAATGAAGTTTGAGTAGCTGCTGCAATTACTAAAATCATATGAGCATAAAGAGCGTCGTAGCTACTAATGTAATCAGCTGATTTTGATACGTCTTTTGATGCTTCTTTTTTAATATTATTTAGTTCGTTGGCAGAGAAAAAATAAACTCTGGAAATCACACGTTGTTGTTGTACTTGAATAAATGGTGTACCTGATATGGGAGGGATATTTCGATTGAAAACACAGTCCTTTGGTCGACTCAAAGAACTTATCCGTTGTCGTTCTTGTTCCGTAGGAAATAAAATGAAATTTTTGTCGAGCATTGGCATCATTTGTGATGGCTTTCCAGAAGCCCATGCATTGATGAAATGTCCCATGCTGTGTGCATCCACTAAACAATGAAAAGCTGATATACTTAGAATAACGCTGTTACACTTGAGACGCGTCACTTGTATCGACATGCAAGGTCCTGTACAATCGGTTTTAACGCTTACAGCTAAATCACTGGTATTGATATGTTCATAATCAAATCCTTCGTCTTGAAATGTTCGTGGTATAAAATAATCTAAATTTTGATTTGAACATTCTGCTTCGGTGTAGAGAACACCTTCATTTGTCAAATGAATGGTGACGTTGCCTTTCTCATCTTCTGTAGCGCGACCAGCTAATATAGGAAAATAATTGAGAGTATTCGATAGAGTAGCTTGTAATTGATCGGATGGCATAAAATCATCTTTTGACAAATTTGCAGTATTCGAATAGATCCAGATCATATTGACAGAATATATTTTTGCACTTGATTCAAGAGCCATACATGTTATACCTTCAACGTTTGTTGATGGATTCGAACATTTGATAGTAATAGACTTTTGTTTGATGATAGTAGCCATATTGCACGTATGTAAAATAATTCAAATCAAGGTCTTTTTTATAGTTGCTTTGCAGTGGTGTGTCGGAATTTTATTTTGTTCTTGCGAAAGAAAAAGTCTATATTCCATGTGTAGAAAAGAATAGAAGGAATGAAAGAAATAACAGCTGTGCCTTGACGTCACGAGAGGAAAAAGAAAGTAGTATACATCAGAATCATGTTTTTTCGTGCCTACGTGGTTTATTTTTCTACGCAGAAGGGCATATAAAATGAAAATGATAAGCATGCATAGCTTTTTGTGTTAGCAGATAGTAGACATGTAATAAAAGCACACGTGTATTAGGGTATTTGCTATTAAAAAATAAAAAGACTACAGTAGAAGACAAAGAAGAGAGAAAGAAAAAGAAAAAAACAGGAGACAAAGCGAAAGGAGATGGTGACCAATGAGAAGAGAAAATATTATACGAAGAAGAATTTAGATCATTGTAGAAAAAGAGAGTTATACTTTGTATGTTGTATTGTTCATTCTTTTCAATCAAAGAAACTGGTCTAAGTGGTTATTTTTTATTGTTGGAAATGAATTCCACAAGATACATCTTTGTAAAACAAAAGGTACAAACTAAGATCTATGTTGCTAATCCATTCTAATCTTTTAATCATCTGTTGTTGCACAATAATGTCAGAGCACATATCATTTTCGATTGAGAAAGAATTTTTAGCTCGAGCAAAATAGTAGCGATACACTGGTCTGAATCTATTACTATATTTTCTCTGCAATAATCCTGTCAATTTTTTTGATAGGATAGTATTGAACTAAAAGAGAAGTGTTTTCACAGGAGCTACTCTCAAAGATTTTCTCTACCACTTTTCATCTATTATAGTTACCTGAAATTGCAGGTATAAACCCATCAGTATGCATGCAGATCAATGAAAAAAATAATGCAATGAAAGGTAATTAGGAGAAGAGTCTGATTGCATGTTAGTATATCATCATAAACAGTAATTTTTCTAAAACTAAGAATTCACATGATGATAAATCTTTGAAGTTTCAATTTCTTGATATAAACCATAATTTTGACAGGAATAACTTAATTATATTGTTAGAAAAAGGCAGAGCGTTTTTATTCATACTGCCTGTTTAAAATTTGAATCATTGATGGAAATTAATCAAGGGCATAGAAAGATACAATCAAAACAATACCCAAAGAACATATGTAGTTTTTATCATCTGACTATTAAAACTTTGCTATTTCGTTAGAGTTCAGCGTGTCATAGTACTATTCTTTGAATTGTACCATTCAACGGAAGAACTGAACAATCTGTAAAATTTAACACGCATAGGATAAATTTAATTCATAGATATTGACTATGGTGTTAAGTCATAGAGTCTTCTATATAATGTCATCTTTGTATGGATTTGATACGAGTAAATTTTTCATTTGTTTGTTGCACTAAATGAAAATCTTCATCAAAAGAAAAAAAATTACTTATTTGTCTCTAGAAAAGAGTTGAAAAACAACTTTTACTGTTGTAGTTTGTTTCTTTGATGTTTTTTGCATATGCATTAAAATAAATCTTTCTTGCTTGAAGAACGAAAACATTTGATGTCTAATTGAAAATTTTGATGCGAGTGACACATTTATTTAATTGACAACATCTTCATTGTGAGTTTAAAGATGTTTCTAGTGAACAAATATTAACTATTTCCTATATAATAACTTGATTAACGGTGACAAGTATACTTTTTAGGAATCGAAATCGAAACTGGTTTTTCACTTCTATTAATGGAAACTTGAAACTAAACCTAGTTTCAGTTTCGACCTTAGGCATTTTTGGAAACTGTCATACTCTAATATACGGTATGCGGGTGAATGTATGAACTTGTTTTCATCTTCGCTTTCATTCACCTTCAATTCATAAATCTCATATGAATCGTCTATCAGATTATGCTAGTATGTTATTTTTTAATTTTTGTTCTATTTGAAATATCTAAAGAGACGGTTTTCGAAGAAAATGTATTATAAGAATCGGAAATTGAATCTTTCCCAATTAGTAAATGTGTCATTTATTATGATAGAAAGCAGCTACACTACATAATCATCATGAATGAGCATTGTTTGTTTTTAGTGGTCAAATATTATTGTAGCCAAGTATTAACCTTTCCAACCAGTTTTTTTAAGCCATTGTTCGAATGTATTTAATGCCGTTAACTTTTGTCCCGATGTCCAATCTTTATCTTTGCCATAATAGCCGTATTCTTCAAACCATTTGAACATAGAAACTATTTCATCTTGTGCAATTTTCGGCATGAATTGAATTCCCGATCGAAATTCTTCTTCCGTTGATGTTTTTGCTATAGCTGGAACACCGGTTACTTTAGTGAAAACTTTTGGAATGTCACCAAATCGAATAGCTTCGCCACAAATGCAAATATCTTTGCCAACATATTTTTCGGGATCTTCCAAAATTTTCGAAACAACTGGGCCAGTATCTTCGATGTCCACCATATGCAATGTCGTCTTTTCGTCAATAGGCAGTGCAAAAACCATCGTATTATCAGTTGATTTCTGAGCTTTGAAAAAGCTTAACCAGTTCTGCATGTAGAATCCAGGTTCGACATAGATTGCTTTCAATGTTGGATATTTTTCTTTGATATAATCGCGTATTTGAGCTTTTTGTGAAAAGTGTGGCACGTCACTTAAACATATATTCAAACATATACTGTAAGAAAGTAGTTTATAAGAAGAAAACTCACTGTTTTCCATTGCTTAGTTTCATAGTATCTTCAAGAGTACTGTATATATAATATGGAATTTGAAGAGAAGCAGCAACATCAGCCATTAGTTTACCCTGATGGACTTCGATCTCAGGGTGATCGGGTTGTGCCCAAAAGTCTGTTAGAGCGAAGATAGCCCATGAATCTTTAAATGCCTGTTGAACATCCTCTCTCTTATTGACATCACATGTGACCATCTCAATATGATCACTCAAACGTTTTATTGCTTGAGCTTTTTCACTTGTTGCATCACGAGTTAAGCCACGAATCTTTCGAAAAAAGAGCACGGTTAGTTAAAAATTAACAACATAGATTAATTTATTTACCTTGTAGTTGCCCGTTTGAACTAATGATCGTACAATGGCACCTCCTTGTGCACCCGTAGCTCCAACTACGGTTACCAAACGCTGATGAGCCATTGTATGTTGCTTATAAAAAATGTAATGTAAAATATGTTGTATACCTCACTATATATAGCTATGCTTGTTTTTTTTCTTTCTAATGCATGCTCACCAGGTAGTGTGAGCTGGCGAACGAATCGTACGTAAAGTAACGGTGATGTAAGAAAAGAACGAGAGAGAGAAAGAGTATGCGACGCGTTAAATAAAAGAAATAAGGTGAGAGGTATCAACAACGTGCAAATGAACAAGCATGCAATACATACAACGATGCACGTTTTGAAAGCTCTCGAAGAAAAAGTCGTAGTCGATTTCTCAAATAAACATCATCATCATAAGAACACATTTTAAAACAACGAATAATTATGTGTGTTTAAAATATTTAGCTAATTGTCACGTTCACATAAACTGAATGTTGTCAATGCCATCTCAATCCAGTTTTTAAATTTATCATCAATATAGGGATGGCTTTTTTTAATGACTAATTATATGTTTTACGTGGAAGTGTGGGTGTGACAATTTCAGATATAATAGACACCATTTAAGGGCTATTATCCTAAAACTTTATTAGTATAATCAAAATCGTAACTATACTGTATTTTTCTCGTTCCTTATATACTATTTCCTAGCATAGAAGGACCTTGAAAAATACAGTAAATATAATAACAGAAAGATACATGATGTAAGAACAAATTTAGAGGAAAGAATATATCGAGAGTGCGATTCCAAAGTATATATAGGAGAAGAACAAGATAAGCATAACGAATGGAGGAAGACATTGCGGTTATTTCTTTTATGAATAACACTATGTACGAGAAAAAGGACAGACTAATAATACCATTCCAAAGCACATATGAGATAAACATGGAAAAAAATACTTTTGATCACCAAATTTTTCGAGTTGTATTTTTTCATATTGTCTTGTCCAATTCTTCTTCTCAATATACGTATATAACGCTATATCCACATGCACCATTGTTTCTGGAGATAAAAAGAAAGAGGAATTAGCGATCAAATCAATTACTGTATAATCAAGTCAAGTAGTTCATGATCGAAATAATTAGTGATTAAAGTACGAGTATCCTTAGAAAAAAATTCATATTTATTTTCATCAGTAAAAATTTAATCACGAAATAAAGTTGAATTTTATTAAGGATTATCAAAAAGGGGTGTGGATGACGATGCAAATGAGGGTCTACTGAGGATGTAGGTCCGAGTGAGGGTATGGGGAAAATTGTAGATTTTCACTAGAAGAAGATCTCGCACCATTTGTTAAGACATGAAGCGCAAATGATTGCTTGAAAAATTTGGTGATCAAATGTATCTAAATTAATTTGGTGAACGAAAGTATTTGGTTTGGGATCAAAAATATTCTCGCTCAATAAACATAACAAACGGAAAGAGACATTGCGGCTATTTCTATTATAGACAACACTCTGTGCGAGAGAAGGACAAAATAATAATGCCATTCCAAAGTATATATAGGAGAAGAAAGAGATGAAAGTACATAAAAATATGGATAGATAATAAACAGAAAAAAGCATCGCAGTCATTTTCAATCGAGGATGAGCAACAACTTACGCATTAGATTGGATTGTTACATGTAGGTGCAGAGATGACTCACAGCCACAGTATCGGACATAGCTACATTCATGTCCGACTGTGAAATTTATTTTATTTTCATTTTTGATTTTATTATGAAATTTTAAGTTGAAATATGTTCATTTATATTTTTGTGAATCTGATTATAGTACCTGTTTAGATATGAGCTTATTTCAAGAAAATACAGTTAAACAACTGTTATTGATTTCTTACGTACAACAACACGCTGATGATGATCGGTATTCAAGATCAGAAAAGGTCGAAATGTTAGATATATTTATTGTCAATAAATAAAATAAACAAAACAAACTTTTTTCTCTACTATTTCGAAATTTATAGTATTATCATTTTTCATACAATTTAAATATTCTTTGATAGGTTGAGTACCTTTTTGATATCTTTTTGTTTTTTAATTACAATTTATTTTGGGCTAATTTTTCGTAGATATCAGTTATCATTTATCCAATTTTAGTAGATATATTTAGTGCCTGAAATTCCGATCCTCCCAGTCTTAATCATATCCTTAATCTCGGACTCATTATTCTCAAACTTTTGAGTAATTTTATTGTATAAAATCTATTTTTTTTATTTTAAAAAAAGAAATGATACTTAAATGGGTCTAGGACAGTTGGTCAGACGAACGATTGCTCTCTCGGAAACTTACTTGTTGCGCAGACTTTTACCAGAATTTCAAATAAAATAATGAAACAAAGATGACACAACAACTTAATTTAGTATGAAACAATGTTCATCATCATAAATTTATTGATTTAAATTCTACAATATTTTTTTAAATTGATGATTCTAATTTAATGACAAATTATATTCAATGAAATATATATATATATATATATAAGCTGCACAGGCTAACAGATAATCTACATGCAAACATTTACGAACAATTTGTATGCATTGAAAGTTTGTTGTCTCTATAAAATTTATATTTTTGCTCTCTTATGCATCATAGTAAATTGTGTTATACTTGTTGTTGAATTTCTATTGTATTATCGTTCAAACTTTGTTCAGGTGTTCTCTATTTAACCTTTCAAAACATGATTAATAATTGTTTTTTTTTCGAATGAAGTATTCTTTCTACTGTATACTTCGGTGCTACTGTCCCTGCTAGCTTCTATATGTTTTTTTTCATTTAACTATGTTTGCATGCATCAACTAAAGAAAAGATAGCAAGAACGAAGAACCAGAAAAATAACTAAGGTGTTGAGAAAAGAACATCTGGAATGAAAATAGTTAGTGATGTGTGCGAAAATAAGATCAGCATATTCTGTAACAGCATGAATACCATCAAATCAAATTAATCAAAGATTTTGAAAAGTAGATCAAATTGAATTCAAAAAAAGATTTTTTATTTGTTTCGATCTCTGGTCTATATTCACATCTTAAAAAATGTGCGACATTCTCAGAAGGATCTTGACAAAAATATGATGAATCGTTGTATCGAGCCTTTCTAGTTTTTTTTTTTTTTTATAAAATTATCTTTAATTGGCCTTTTATTTGTATTTAGACTTAAAGTTGAATTTACAATAGAATGATACAATGATAGTAGGTGTGACAATCAATGAATAACCATAGTAATTATGTAGTAATGGCTTTTTATTATTATTCTCAACTTGAAATCTTGTCCCAGTTTGGTTGTCACTACGAGTGTATTATAATTAAGATGAGTAATATCAATATAAATAATCAAATGGATAAATAAAAAAAAGGAGAGGAAGATTCAAAGAAACAAGTAAATGAATCACATTTTGTTCAGGGTATCCGATGATAATAATTTAAAGCAATGAAAGTTCAAAATTTTTTTCGTCTTCTTTCCTTTTGAAAGACATCTATTTCGGACAAATCTACTAGATTTTGTTCCTATTTTCTAAAATACTTTAGCTTTTATTTCTTCACACTTTCACTTTATCTGAATTATCATTTAATCCTTAAACACTAATCTGAATACTGATAGTGAGCCTGTAGAAAAGCAAGCAAAAATAATTTACTTCAGTTTAGATTTATTTAAAGCCTGTAGGCTTGCTGTATAGATACAAGAATAAAGACGAGAAACAAGTGAGTAGCATAGATACACGTATTTCCTATAAAAAGTACCTCCGGTGCCATCAATTCGATCCAAACTGTGATCAGTTTGGTGGCTTTGCTTTTTTCCAAAGCCAAAAAAGACAAATGACAATAGCTACTGCTCTCAAAATAGTAAAAATGATAAAAATTAGTGTCTTTAAAACAGCAAAAATGGCAAAAGTTATTGTCGTCGAAATAGTAAAAATGGCAAAAACTAGTGTCGTTAAAACATCAAAAATGGCATAAGGTAATACTATTAACAGGCATAACAAAAAGATGGTAGAAATGAGCATTCGAATACAACAAATCATCTTTCTCTTCCATTCGGAAGTATCATGATTATAGAAGTTTCGAGTTGACACATGTGATCGAGGCTCAGCACGTACTGAAAACGTTCGTTCTCTTGGGACTCTCGCGGTGACAGTAAAATTTTCGTTCAGTATTTCATGATTGAGAAAAGGTATCTGTTCCTGATCAATGCCAATAGTTTCAGTTGCAGGTATGGTTGTTGTTGGACAAGACATTGTTGAACCATGGGTACTCGCTCTCATCATTGTTTTCATAGGTATTGAGCGTTTGCGGAAAAGCTTCGATAATATTGGCTTCCTCGTTTTTGAACATTGTTTCATGTGGTCTTGGAAATTACTTCGTGGGATAGCACTTCTATTGCATCGAAGACATCGAACGGGAAGAGAATCTAGCTGACGACACAAAGTATAGACCATCTCATTCGTAAAAGTGTATGCAGTGGTACATCGATTGCGACATATTGGACATGACGCATTCTGCTTGACCCATGTATCAATACATAATCGACAAAATGTGTGGTTACAATCAAGGCGAACAGGTGATAGGAAAGGTTGCGTGCAAATACTGCATTTGAGCTCGTCATCAATTGTATCTTCATTCACATATTCATAGTTATCTGTTGATAATGTCATGTCTAAAAGAATAAAATGTATCAACTCATTTGCAGTGTTGATTAATATAAATTTTGCTTTTTCATACAGGCAAAGCAGTCATATTGACGAATATTTATGTCTTTTTTCTTTACTCAGAATGAATATAATAGATAACAATAAAATAGGCGAAAAATGATACATCGAGCATGTGGTTCTCTAGTTACCAAAACGAACCTTGAAAATCAGTGTTTCACTGTATGGTGAGAAAACTGAAACGTTGCTCATTTCTTCCAGAGACCACAGGAAACATTTCGATATATCGTTTTTTATTTTTGAACTTTAAAATTTTCGATTTTCAAGGAATTTGGTATTTTGAATTCGTTTAAGAGTCCAAAGCTCAAAAATCCGTTGCTCTCTGTTGATAACGTGTTTTATTTCTTATCATAGATTGTTATAAAAGGTATGAGTGTGAGTCGTCTTTTCACAAACTCCTACACTCTCACTCGATCACAGTCACATTAATGCAAGACTCTTTATAGTCTTGATTGTTTTTATTTTCTCTTGTAATTCTATCGACTAAACGTCTTACGTTGCACAGACTACGAAGCAGAACATAAAGCTTCTCAGTTTTAGACTTGTTGACGACGAAGTGGATAATAATTGTGTTTCATATTGTTTATATGTAGCTAGTAAAATTTCACTTTGTTGAACACTTTACACAATAGTACATAGTAAAGAAGATACTACCGTTCGATGTCAGAAGTCGATATATTAGTATTGAAAGTGAAAAGAAATTTCCTGAACTCAACAACTTGTTTTCATGCCATAGATATTAAATAATAGTATATACCATCTCGAGCAACTCAGGAAGGGTGTAGCTGTGCGTGAATGTGAATGGAATACCTCTACAGCGTCACCCTCATTTTTAGGAATGTTTACAATGAGTTTACCTAAACATCGTTTGTAGTAATTTACATATCCACTATTGGACTGAACAAGCTCGAAATACTCTCTAGTTCAAAACAAAATTTATTTGAACGTTAATTTTATACCTTGAATTTTTAAGCTTAACAGCACTTCCTATCATCTAAACATTCAATGCTTCGTATAGTTTCCTTTTCTAATAAATATAGATTATTACAACGATCGGTAACATACTAAATGATAATTCGATCTAAAATTTTAATAATTGAAAAATTGATTTATTTTGCATAAAAGTTATTGCCAATAGTTATTATAAAAGTTTAACAGGCGCTTGTGCATACTTTTTTTTTCACCATGTCTGGGTATATTGTAAAATTTTCATTGAGAAAGTTCTTCAATAAAGTTTTAATGAATCAGACGCATCTAATCAAGTTATTCTAACCGTGCCAAATGCATTTTCAGATTAAATATGTGTGTCTACCACATTGCTGAGACAGAATTTATTCAGAATTATGTCGTCAATACAGCATTTTCTGCATCGATATGCTTTTTGAATAAAAAAAAGACAGTTCGACGCATTTACTAAGTCTTCAGTACACGTATTTCCGATGGAACTATAATTAAAACTCGCAAGAGTTTTCTAACAATTAATTGTTCTACTGCCCATTTGAATTAGACTATTGATAGACATTGTAGAAGACACTATTTCAATGTTTAAAGACAACCTAGAAATCTAACTGATTACCAAACTAAAATTTGCAACAGTGAGGCTTGATGTTTTGTAGTTTCTATGTTTATTAATCGTCCTACTAATGTCAACGATTATTGAATCGCAAACACAAATACATACATTAATATAAATTAATCGTTTGTACTAGGAGCTCACTTAATCTCAATAAAGAACTTAGTATCATGAACTTGAAAAACATTTTCTGCTCTGAACTAAAAATTTAATGTTCGAGAAACATAATAGTAACTGCATTCATGATACTATTGTTTTTTATTACGATAATTTCATCACTAATTTAAATAGATAAAAACTATGAGTTTTTGATACGATGATTTCTAAAATGAATTATTTCACTATGAATAAAGCTTGAAGACATAATTTTAGTTGTAGACATTACATTGATCAAGGAAGAGTTCAGATCATATAATTTTTGTCTGTATTAAATTTAAGATCACTATTAAATAATTGTTATCTTCTAATTTGAAAATGAAGTTATATTTTCCATATGAAGGTTTTTTTATATAAAGTGATTGCGTAATCGTATTTTGATCGTCTGTATTATAGTATGTAGAAAGTATTTGGTTTACATTGAATTACTCAGAAACGTAGCCACACACAGGATGTTATTATAGTAATATTTTCTTTTCATGTCTATGTCAATAAAGTATGGAGTAAGTTTTGTTAAATTAAATCAATACATATGAGAAAATCTTTATTTTTCGTAGCAAATATGCTAAAAGAAGCAGTAAGTTGGGTGGTTTCTTGCTTTACATGATACGTTTGTTAAGCAATAAACTAAGTAACATAATGAAATCACAAAAACCCAACGAGAAATAATTCAATAAGCTTCTATCATGTTACAGCTTCAGTGAAAAATTCTTCAGAATTCAGATTTCATCTATTTCACATATATGAATGTATTTTTTTTAAAAATTCAATTTCTCATGAAGTTCTTATCTAATATAACATTCTGACATTTATTGTCGTTAACACTCTGTTATTTAATATATAAATTTTAAGTTTGTATAAAAACGAAAACGAAAAATTTTTCTCAATCAACACTTTCATAGACATATGTTAGTCACTTCTGAACTCTATAAGAAAATGATGTTTGATACATTTTTTTTATTGATATTAAATGTATATCAAAGAAAAAAAATACAAAATAGATCGATGGAATGCTATTATTTTATAGATATATTTCATCTTTTTGTTTTTTTTTGTAGAAATATTATATGTTTCAGAATACAAGCGTAATCATATCAGGCAAATAAAAAAAGAAATCTTTTTGATGTAAAAAGAAGACGAATGTATTATACTGTCAATATGCTTATGTCTATGGAAAAACAGATAAAAGGAAAGGCATTCGGGTAAATGATACATGAGACATATAACTATTATATTGAATTTTGATTGAATATTTTGTTTTTCTATACCTATTACTATAAGTTTTAAAGTGTTTTTATTTTAATAAACTGCATTGTTCTCTTTCTAATCTTGTTCATAAAAGAAATATAGAATTCACTGATTTTAATCTCATTTCTTTTATATTTATTATTATATTTTCAATGTTTCTCCTAATATGTTTATTAGATTTTTACTGTTGTCAAAACTTCTATGACGGAAATAATTTTCGATAATAATTTTCCTGATCAAAATTAGTAGAATATGCTGGAAACTCATCTTTTTAAAAGCCTACGCATTTCGACATAAGAATGACATGTATGTCATTGAAAGATTCTAAAAGTAATAATTATCTATAGTGTACACAGTATCTGATAATTCTATTTTCTCGTTGAAGACAATGCACAACAATAAAGAAAAGAAAATGAATTTAGCATCTATATACTATTCAAATCCTTTCTAAGATTATTGTGTAGATATGAGTAAATTACTCGAACAAGTACTTAAAGTAAATACTTATCTACACCCAATTCAATTTTGTCTTGTTACTATAATAAATATTCTAAATATACGTGTATTATGTTCTCGTATTCTTCGTTCATCACCATGTACACATTATTTCTTAGCTTATGCTCTCTTTAGTATAATTTACAATTGTGTATCATGTTCAACACAATTTTTACATAGTTTTTATATTGATTGGGCAAAAAAGTACCTTAGGATGGTAAAATGCATTTTTATTTTTCATTTGTTTCATTGGTTCAAGCTAAAGTAATGCTTCTTTTGGCTTCCTGTGATTGTTATTATTCAAGGTCACAATCACGTCTACTTCATACGATAAGTACTATACGAACAGCAAGAATTTCTATTGTAATTGATAGAATATTATCGGCTATTTATATGTTACCAATGTTGGCTATTTATAAATGGGATGACATTTCTAAACAATGTTTACAACCATCGAATACTCTCTTTTATCTTTATATTCTTAGTCAAATTATTTCATATTATATTTTAATATTTATATTAATGATTATATTCGATTTTTTGACGATGTTGCATATTCGTCCACAATCAATACGAACAAAACGTTTAATATCATCTATCCATCGACGTCGCACTGAAGAAAAATTAGCTCGAATGTTAATATTTCAAGTTTAGTATTCATCTTATTCTTGGCATTCCATTTGGTATTACGTATAGTATGAATGCATTTCATCCATCAACACGAACACCAAATATTTTAACCATACGTTATATATTAGTCATGTGGCAACGATATGATCATTTTGTAACGTTTTTTATTTATATTTGTTCAGGAAGTGTCTATCGAGAAGAACTTATTCGAATATTCAAATCTATAAGATGGCATCATTCAATATCAATTCAATCATTTACATATGAACGAAAAATTGTCATACACGAATTTTCTCTGAGTACTACTAGTATGTTATCTTCAATGAAAACAAAAGGTGTCTATGTGTAAAGTTATTAGTATATGTCTCACATGAGTATATTGTATACTTTCCTATTCTGTGAGTTTACTGACTTTTTCATTTATTTATTTATTTACTTATTTAGTTGATTTTCATTTTTTGTGTTGTGCTGCTTATATAATATTTGTTCTGATACATATTAAACTAGTATATTCATTGTAATAAATTCATTATAATTTTTTGTCGACAAAAAAAAGTGACACAGAAGAAAATAATTGTTTGTGTCAACTTAATCAGTTTTTATTAACTAGTTTTTACAAGAGAGATTCGAGATAAAACAGAGATGTGAAAAAGAATAATGTATTCCAGCCTTTTCAACAATGTCTTTATCATCAATGTGATAATGAACTATTGCTATTTTAAGAACTAGTGAAATGTCAGCACAGCAGAATAATTAATGAAGAAAGTACATGTATTCCTTAGATTTTTATTTCCTTCTATTTTCTAGTAGACATATTGTTCTCATTTGAATAAAGAAAGGAAGTATATATCGAAAGTTTTACTAAAATTTCACTAATTGTGTCTAAGTATTCTATTAGTCACACAAAAAAACTTGAACTTTTATTATAAGATCTTCTTTTTAAATTATGCTTGATGACATAAGTTTTATGTGAAAACATGATAAACAATTTGTAAATTAATTTAGTCCTGTTTTAGTCTCGTGATCATGTTTTTGGCTCGTGCATGACAGATAGGATCAATTTTTAATAAATTTTATTTTCTTCGATTCTGTGTTTCGTTATTGTTATTGTTAATACTTTAGAATTATTCATAATTTTTTGATAATATGATTCACATAAAAATATCTAAAAAATGGTATATAAAGTGTTATGTTCTATGTACTAATTAATTATTTATGGAAATTTTTACTTGAGCATCTAACAGACATAAATCAATATATAACTTACGATGCATAAGTGTCTGCACAAATCGCAAGATCTCCGGTGTTCCAACGGATAATACTAAAAGTTTAACTGTTTCACTGACAAACAAAGCGAAAACTGTACTTTGATATGTCTATTCAGAATAAATTTTAGGATATAGTTGCTGATTTGACCAACAAATGTGTACCAAATAATAGCGCATTGATTTTAACAAATATCTTTTACCATGTTTGCTAGAATAAATAAATCTATATATATATATATGAGTCTTTATCAATCTTTGTGTTTGGTTTTTTTTTTATTATAAATGATATTCGTCAACAATCTACTCATATACAATACTTTTGACAACATCTATACGTGGTCGTCGGTGCGAAGGATCATTAACTCGAATACGTCTTATTCATCTTATGATTTCTGTTGTTCTTATACTTCTGATCAATATTACATATACAATAAATTCATTTGAATCATCTCTACGCACAACAACAGTAAAAATCATTCGTTTTGCTTTTTGTCATATGGCAACAATGTGATAATTTAATTGAATTTTTTTCTTTATGTTCTTACTAAGAATATTTTATCGACAATAACTCTACAGAATATTAAAATTCATTTAAACATGATCATGCATCGACGAATTCATTCACATAACATCTGAAAAGTACCTGTCGAGAGTTGCTATTCATCACGACAACTGATCAAAATTCCAATGAGATGATGAATCATGTTTTGATTTCGATTAGTCATAAGGGTGTAGGTGTTAGTGAAAAAGAAAAAAAGATTCACTGTCACATTCACTTTTCACACACTAGAAAAAGATATTGTTCAATGATTTCATTGTGGGAACTTCTTTTCGAAATATTTAATTTTTGTCTTTTATTCCTTTTTTAATGCACTCTGCAACAATATAAATACGTAATACATAATTTGTAGTTAAAACATTGCTCTTTTCAACAAAAAAAACAATTTGACATATTTTTGCGAGGACTTTTGTATCACATGTTACGTCGATAAAAGTATTATCCGGATGAATCCGATAAAATTATGTTTGTAAATTCTCTTTATAAGGTAACTAGTTGTGATTGAAAAAATACAGAAGTCATTGGAATTTATCCCGTTTACTTTTTAGTTTAATTCTGTCTTTACCATAGAATGAAAAGACCAAGATTTAGAAAATAGAAATCTTTAAATGAATAAGCAAATATCATCAAAAAATTTGAAGAATTTCGAGAAATCTAAGATATTGACTTGTCGTAACTACTTCATATTTCATGATTCCTAAAAAATTAAAATCTTCCAATATCTATTCTTCAAATTGTCTTAAACTACCCTGATAAATATAGAACATATATTAGCAAGAAAACATTACTATGAAATTTGTATAATCGCAACATTATAAGAGATATTGAAATAACTATAGTAGTGTTTTATCCTTTGAAAAACTGTTGTCAATATTACATTAGACAAATAAACTATTGATATGTGTTCGCAGGAAAAACGAACATCTGAAAAATTTTTCTATGAATTAGTTTGATATCAATCATTGAATCACTGTTTTTGAATATATTTTCTGTTAATCAAGTTACTTTTAAGTCTGTGATAAAAACTGTTAAAGTTTTTTTAGTAGACTATAAATGAGCACAAAAGTCAAAGTAGTCAATTGATTGATTAAGATCGACCAACTAATTTGCTATTAATAACTGCTGTTGATAAATCAACTTGAGCTACTGGCATATCTTCTCTTTTAACTCGCACTATTTCAGAACCAAATGAACCGAAAATTTCCAAAGATTTTGGTTTTGGACAAAAAACACGACGTATAACGTAACAAGGCCATGCACATATTAATGTTATCCAAAGAAGAAAGAAAAAAGTTGGTTGTTCACCACGACATTCACGCATTTGATCAATATCACGTAAGAAAATAGCCGAATCTGTATGTGAAGGTTCTGAACAATTTTCGCTACAAATATTTTCTTCATATCGAGTAAGAAGTCGAATATCCGTCAGAGCAGTATAATATGCGTTATTACAGCAGCATAGATTATCATGATATTCCCATTCACGATAGACTTTTTCACTAGGTAATAAATTAAAACTATTATTTATTGGACGAAAATAAGCCTGTGGCTGTTGAGTTTGAACACGAGCAGGTGCTATAGCCCTAAATATAGGATAAGAATGCTTATTTCATTTAAATAAGACACTATATTCACTTACATGTTTTGATGTGTTGTCCTTTATTATTTTTTTGAAATAAAACAACAGTTGACTGTATTGTGTGTTATTTATTTGAACACATACAACATAATTCAATAAAATCTTGTGTCGATGGAAATATTCAATTGCATAGAACAACTATGGTTTCATATATTTCATTTTCTTATTTGCCAACGGACTTGTAAATAATGCAAATGCATTGCTATGATTGTATGCTAGTTGATTGAAAATAAAAATGAGTTTCGCAGGCGAGTTGTGTTATTTTTTTAGTTTTCATCTGTAATTACTAAAGTTCGATTTTTTTTTTGTAATGAAACATTGTTTTTCAACCAATCTATGATGAAAGAATTTATTGTTGAAAAGAAACTACTAGCATTTTCTTTTAACACTGTGCTTCTCAATTGATACATTCATTTTTTAATTCACAATTATATAAAGAAATTTGAAAACACTTGATAGCTAATACAATTTAATTGTATGATTGAAAGTATATGATACTTATTGTTTATTTCAGGCAAACTGTAATAAATCTGTTACATGATTATCGGATAAGACAAAATCATATATTCAAAAATATTAGCGAAATTAATTGATTTCGATCACTTATACAATAATTTGTTAAGTAAAAAATTAATTTAACCAGAAATTCTCTATTTCTTAACAAAATCTACATTCGTAAAAATATACATTTTGTTTCAAATGTTAGAATTCGATTTAATGGTTACCTAAAATAATAGAAATTAATATATTTTTGGTAAACATGATTTTCGTTAATTGAAAAAAACAAGTAAGCAAATAAGAATAAAAACAATTGTTTATGATTAGAATATAAATTAAGTTATTTATTTCACTCACGTGATTGTTTATCTTTCTACACAAGAAAGATCATTCATTTTCTGTACTATCTTCAATAAAGATAAATTTTTCAAATTTTTATTTTCATCGTAAGACTATGAATATTGGAATAATTACTCTGTGTTTCTTTTGAGAACAAATACTTTTGTTCGAAGTTTAGGTATTCATATACAACAAAAAAAAAAGAAAAAGAATATAAAAGCCAACATAATACTGAAAACAAAACATCATATGACATGACATTTTCTTCTATATTTACTAGTAATTGAATTGTGTAGCAAAACTATCAGAACGTTGTTAAGGACAATTGAAGACATAAAAATGAGTTATAGAAAATTGATAAAATATGAAATATTAGTTTTGGTAGTTGTTGCTAATACATTATTCGATCCAAACCGAAGTTTTATCAAAAAAAAAGTGAAGTGTCCTATACGAAAAAAAAACAATAATAAATCTTCGAACTATTTAAGAAAATTTAAGACTCTATTTTGAAAATATTGGATTCGCATGTATAGAACGTAGAAATATATCAACGAAAAGAGTATCTCCAGACTAACTTATTCGAATTAATAATACATCCTACCATAGTGGATTCAATCTGAGAATAAGCCAACATGACAAAATTGTAATGAATACGAGCAGGTTTTTCATTGAGTGCATTTTTCGATGGAAAAACTTTCTAGAAATTTTGTAAACACATATAAATGAACTTAGTTTTTTTTTATACTGATGCTGAAAATATCATATTATTTTCAACTAAAAATTAATTAGAATGACATAAAACTGATTCTTGAGCATATTATGCTTAGGAATTTTTCAAGTACGCAGACTTTTTTACCTTCGGATAATATATGGTTTTGTAGGTTTCTAAAAGATTATCAAATGAGTCCTACGAGAATTTCAATTTTTGAATTTAAACGTTTGTTGAAAGACATAAAGGGGTTATCAGTACAGTAAAAATGCTAATGGTGACTACCAGTACATCGAACCTATATCCCTTAAAATTAAATAATCGATTGATGGTCCATCTCTATGATTGAAATCTTATTAAAGAGCTATGAAATTCATGATTTCATTATTTTTTTGTCTTATTTACCTATTCTCAAATTAAATCCATTGTAATACGATGGATTATTAATTGAAATAATAATGAAAAATGCGTTACTTTGTTCATAGCTATTGAACTTCAAAACTTCACCGAAACCTTATGAAACTAGTACCAAAATGTTAGTCTCAACAAACTCTTTTCATTGATATAGGATTCAATGACATTATCCAAAAAAACTGATAGTAGGTCGCTGTAACTTCTCGCGTGCGCTCCCTCTTTTTTCTTGATTGATTATTTCAAGATTCTCGATACGAATAAAATATTACAAAACTAGAATAAATACAATATGAAAGAGAAAAAATACTTTTATATGAGAAAAATGAAAAAAAAAACATTTTTTCTTTTTTATTGTTGACCAACCATCATGAAACAGAACTCGTGATCTTTCAATTGTTGATCAAGCAAAAAATTATTAATTTTGTTGTTTAAAATTAAAAATCCATATGTAAATGAAATTGATAATTCGAAAATAAAATCCATAAATAGAAGAATAACATTAATATTATAGACTTTAACAAAGAGCTTGAATAAACCAAAGATAATACATAAAATAGACAAAATCAGAGTCTTTTTGGGATAATTATTATATTAAAATTAAAGACCATTCTTTTTATTTGAAGGTCTTACTAATAAAGAAGCATGATAACACCACATTTAAAATACTTCATTCATCAATCGAAGTATTTGATGTTTTGACGAACTTTATGAGGAAAGTACCTGCGAGTTAGTAATACTCGCTTGATTTAACTTCTTCTCGCCATACATCCTC